AGGCCGTTCTGTTCAACGCTGCAGGAAGTGTAACAGCATCCTTTTGCTGAGCGCCCTGCGCTCCCATCCCTCTGAGCTGTGCTGTCCCTCTCTGCGTGGGCAGGAGTATCACTCTTTTATGAACCACGTCAGCAATGACGACCAGCGGTGCAGTGAGAGGCTGCCGGCAGAGGCACTGCAAATCTCCCGTGGATGGAGCCGTGCTTCGCCCCCGATTTCTGCTCGGCAGCTTCTCAGGAGCATGGAGACACGGGGTATTTTGAGCATCCTTGGCAGCAGCGAACGAGGCTGAGTCCAATCCCCCAGACATGCGCGTCTCCCCAGCTCTTTATTTCCAAGGACAGGAATAAGCCTTTGAAGGCTTTTCCATGTGGAGAGTGCACACCTGCAAATGTTAAAAGCAAAGGGCTCTTTCTGGAAAGGTTTGGGGTGGTATATTATCAAAACAGCCTAAATAACCGGGTGCACAAGGGGGCTATGCAGCTCCTGCTGCCTCCTGCTGTTTGGCTAATCCACGCCAACGCCGTACCTGTGCCGCTGGCAGCCGCTGCCCTTGGGATGTGATTGTGCGCACAATTCATACACCCACCAGCTATTGTGTGGTCAATCCCATCCTCTCCTTGTCTTGCTGTTCTCTTCTGTTGCTCAGCTAAGTTTCGTGTCTTACACGTTTTCACCCCTTTAGTAAGGACTGACCCTCAGGGCCCTGCATTAGCAGAGACATAGGACACTATATAGTTAAGGGGTTTTCAGCAGAGAATGGTAAATTCTGGGCCTGAGTTTCAGAGTAGAAAGCTTTGGCTTATCCATGCATCTGGTCTGTGGAGCAGAAAAATCCCAAATGGCCAGGCAGATTTACTCCGATACCTCTGACACCCAGACACTCTGCAGGCTATTTTCTGCCCCGCCAAGCAGCCGGCTGAGCTGGCGGGTTGAAGGCACAGACACCCCTGGTGCTGTGGGAGAGTAAGGGGAGACAAGAGACACACGTGAGTCTGAATTTACGTAAAAAAAAAATAATAATTATTTATTTTGGAGGAGGATTTGAACATCGACATGCAGGTACAACATGAATAAAAATTATTGCACCGCTATTATGTGGCAATTGTTCAAGTTTCTAAAAACACAGAAATTCCACACTTTCTCTTATCTAGCTAAGTGCTGAGTGACACAGCTTGGTGGAGCCCAGCTCAGGAGGTGCTCTCACAGCCACCTGGATATGGTAATCAAATACAACGTAAACACACACTTCTGTCAAATCTTCCACTAGAAGTACAGAATTATCCTTCACATCCAGTAAGAGAAAACCAGAGAAAGACTTTATCCTCCCCTCTTCGGAAGAAAAAAAAAAAAAAATTTAAAATACTCCAAATCACACCTTAATGCAAGTGTGGCAACCAAAACCACTGGTCACTCCTACCTCCTCCCCAGCAAGCGCTCTTTAGTATATTAGCAGCCAAAGGCCTCTGACATTCGGACCCAGGAGTGGCCGTTACAATGCTAAAATCTAATATTTACAATAAATATCATCCATTTCTCTTAGTTTGCAACAGTAAGAGACAAAGGGAAAAATAACACTGAAATGAGGCACAGGGCAGGAATGCACTGGCTGGATGCAGGAGCAGAGAGGAGCTGCAGAGGCTGGAACCAGCTTTGGTGCCCAACACGGATGACAAGCAGGAGACACATCCAAGCCGACAGAAGGAAACAGGGAAATGGGGCAGGAAAGCAGTGTATTTGGATGATTATATGCACATTCACCAAACGCACACCACATGCGCGCAACTTCTACCTCCCGCTTGTCTGACTTGGGGTTATCTATGGAGGCCAAGTTCTCAACTTGCCAAATGCTTCACTCAGGTACCACGGGTCCAATCCTGCGCTGGGGAACACTCTCTCTCTTCACACACAGATTTTCCTACATATCGTTCCTCCCTGACACGTTTTGCAAGCTTGTTTGAGAAGATATTTAAGCAATTCTTAGCAGAGCAAGGAATAGTAAGTCTTGGTGTTATCTACCTGGTTTATTATAACAATTTTATAGAATAAGTCCTTTTGCCCAAACTTTTTGCTAAGGTGCAACATATAAATTTGACAGAAGGTGGAACCCAGATGATGGGGCACCTGGCACACCAAGGGAAGCTGCAGGACTGACCAGGAGCAGGGGATATGGGGCTTCACTAGGTGATGCTGTTTGGCTTTGGCTTCCAAGAAAACAGGGGGTTTTAAATTGCACTGATCACTTTCTGTACCGTAACTACAAAAGAGGTGATGAAACACATACCTCACCTCTTCTTTGGCCAATTCAGGCAAAAGCAGCAAAAGCTGTGACATACCAAGGTTTTCCCACTCTTTTTATGTGTAAGAAAGGATAACTCCGCAATTCAGTGCTGGAGCCACCAGCTGCTGCAAAGGGAAGGAGTCAGCAACTAATACAGCCAGTACCTCCAGAGGGTCCCATTGCCAACCAGCGTGGGATAAGCCAGCTTACCCAGCCCTCTCTCCTAAGAGCGGTGGTTGGTTTTCCCCTTAGGTTTTTTAAACGCAGAGCCCGTCGTGGATGCCCCAGGAGCGCACTCACAGAAGCAGCTGTGTGACTGCAAGGACAAGGGAACGGGGACCGGCCACCCAGGAAACAGATGTGTCAGACCATGTCCTCATGCAGCTCTGGGCTCACCACTTAATTGCTACAAAGACTTCCATCTCACCAACATTAGGTACTCTCAGGAGAGAAGGTCCTTGTAATTACCATAGACTCAGGATGCTGGATCAATTTTTCACTATTCCTGTCCATTTTTATCATATACCGTACTGCCAATCGGACCTTGTTTCTCAGCAATTTTTTTAGCAGATCAATCCGCTCACCAACAGGAGTGCTTTGAGAGGCTGGAGATACCCAGGACTCTGACAAGGCAGTGGAAATACTGCGGTTTATAATTGCAAACCAAGTGTATATGAGTAGCCTACGAATTCCAGGAAAAAGAGCAGAGACAGCATAGCAGGCTCTGCTCTCAATACCGCCACAGCAAGATTTATTAACATGTTATCTGGGAGCGTTGAGGCTTTGGTTAGTGTATTAACACCACCATACATGTTCACACAGACACACAGAGTAAACACTGATTTAAACATGTTAAAAAAAAAAAAAAAGCTCAAACCAACCAAAACTTGGTCCAGAAATGAAATCCAAGCAGC